GGTATCTGCTGTTTCACTTCGCTCTTAGATTTCTTTCTCATTCTCAGCATCACTTGTGCTACCTGAGTCATCACTTTCATCTTCACTGTTTTCGGTGTCTGTGTCTTTTTTCTTTCTGTTCTACCACTCTTGTCCATACCTCTTGAATTAGACGTTCTCCAGACGTATCATGCAGTAGTTTAACCGCACTACATTGGTTTTGTTTGTGTCCTTGTATACCACAGATATGGCATACAAGCTCATTTGTACATTCATTTGCACTGTGCCCCTTTTTTAGGCACTTGGAACATTTCGCTTTCTCATCTTTCTAACCAGTGTGAAAGAATCTTCCTTTAAATCCACTTACACTAAGGAACCTTGGTAGTGCAGTATTGAGCGTTTCCACAAATGCAAGCCGGTCACCATTTAAACAGTTTGTCAGATGCCCATCAACTCTTAACTTCAAGCGTTGAATATTTCCTATTATTTTGCAATTAAAACGTATTAGAGATTTCCTGATTTCGTCGTCTGCCAACGACCGAGGTAGGTCCTTAATGATTACTCGGGTTGAGTCTTCCCGGTGAAAGTAAGGATTTTGTTCATAAACTTGAATGTTCTTACCTCTGATATTGATTCCGGATGTTATCAAATTTACTCTATCTTGCAGAGAATCAATATAAAGCCTCCACAAATTCTTGATTCTTTGTACACCAAAAATATTTTGGCTTTCCACATAATTTTGCAGTGCCTTGTATATGTCCTGAGGTTCAATAAATGACTCTCCTTTTGTATTTACCTCATCAACTTCCATGTATATAGGTGTCATGCTTCTTAGACTATCTTTTATATTTCCCGCTTTGAGAGTCAGCTGATCTTTGGACGCAGGAGTCGTACTAGCCATCATTTTTGAAAATTTCAGAATTCTGGTATGGTATCCAAAATAAAATTCAAATATGTTACCTTAAAAGATTTCACAATTCATTGATAGACTTTTTCAGAATAAAACTGCAACTGATCTGTTAAATTCTGATATTTTTTTGTAGAGCGAGTGTAAAGAACGTTCCCATTAGAGATCTATCTTAATCAGTAGGCAAGACAATCTTAACATTTTGCATACAAGAGGGGTTCTTTTTAATAAATAAACACAAATGATGAGATGAAATTTCATAATTCACACCATAGTTGTATGCAAATTAGCTTAAATGCAAAAAAATATGGGTCACGCCCCTTTTGTGTTTGAAGCGCTAAATTAAACAGCAAGCTAGACAATCTGAATGGGACTTGTGTGATTAAGGTGATATTCATGAAATGTGATCCCCTCATTAAGTGTGTTTTTTACAAAAGAAAAACTCTAGTTTGCAATATTTTCAGATTATCTAGCCTTTATTTAAAGTATCCATTTAAATAAAAAGGGGCGTGGTCAAATGTTTTGCATATTTAAGATAAATTTGTATATGAACTAGATATGTGACCAAAGGTGTGATTTCTGAAAATTTATCCCCTTATCATATGTGTTTATAAACGAAAAAAATTAATTTTTTGCAATGTTTTCAGATTATCTAGCCTACTGTTTAAAGTACACTTCAAATGAAATAGAGGAGTGGCCACTATTTTTGTGCATTTATAAGCAAATCTGCATATGAACAGGACATGTGACCACAGTGTGAATTCTAAAATGCTATCCCCTTATCAAATGTGTTTATTTATATAAGAAAAACCATTGTTCGCAATATGTTCAGATTGCCTAGCCTTCTATTTAAAATAATGATTCAAATATAAAAGAGGCTTAACCTCTACTTTTTTTGCATATTTAAGCTAATTGCATGTGAACAAGTGTGATTTTTGCAATTTTATCCACTCATCATATGCATTCATTTATAAAAGTAAAAGTCTTGTTTTCAATATATTCCAATAGCCTACCCTACGGTTTAAAGTGTTACTTCAAATAGAAAAGGGGCGTGGCCCCATTTGTTGCATTTTTAAACTACAGTAATTTGCATATGAACAGGAGATGCGACTACAGTGCAGTGTGATTTCTGAAATGTTATCACCTCATCATATATGTTCATTTATAAAAGAAAAACCCATGTTGGCAATATTGTCAGATTGCCTAGCCTACGGCAAAATGTAGTGCTTAAATAAAGAAAAAAGGAGCGTGGCCCCTATTTTTGGCATATTTAAGCAAAAATTTGCATATGAACAGGATATGTGAACACAGTGTGATTTCTTCAATTGTATTCCCTCATATATGTTCATTAAATTAAGAAAAACCATGTGTTCAGCCTGTCTAGCCTACCGTTAATGAAGCGCTGCCAATAAAAAAAGGGCGTGTCCCCTATTTTGCATATTTAAGCTAATTTCAATATGAACGGGACTTGTGATTAAGTTGAGATTTCTGAAATTTGATCCTTTCATCATATGTGTTCTTTAATAAAAGAAACAACCTTTTTTGCAATACGTTTATATTGTTTAGCCTACTGTCCAGGATACAGATTTTGGCACACATTCCATGTTTTACCTAGGGTTCATATTTATGTATTCAGTTGGGATATTCTCTCCTAAATAAAGTGCATACAAATATTAATCAGGTCCTCTACCAATTCTGAAGACATGGCAAAAGCGATAAAATTAGTACAATAATGTTCTCTTCAAAGTATGCACACGTACACAGAAAGGCTAATTAAAATGGTAAAATAAATTATAAATGACCAATAAAATCCTGGTAACGGAACTTAAGTTTAATGTCATGAAGCCAACAGTCAAGATCCGTGACTAACACTACCACTAGATCAAATTCCTATTTTTATCCATCTTCAATCAGAACAGTCAACGGTCGTGTTAGGCTAGTCATTTTTACTGAACCCCAACATCTTAAAATACTATTGTATCTACCTATTATTTCTATTTTTATTTTCTTTTTTTATTTATGAGCGGACCCTTCTACATTTATTTTAAGGTAAAATTAATGTTATAAATGGCAAATAATTTATACTGTATACTTAATACGAAGTAGTTGAATAGCTCAGTGGTTAAGATGCTTGCCTTCTTATCCCAGGATCCTGGGTTTTTAAAAGTATTTTTCATTGGGGGGATGATTGGCGTGTTAGCCAGTGTCGTAACAGGCGCGGGGGGAGGGGGAGGGGGAAATCTGCCCCTCCCCTGACAGTTTTTACAGGGCTGACTAAGCCGTCGTACCGGGCTGGGTAATAAGAGAAAAGAAAGAGGGGAGAGGGAGGGAAAGAGAAAGAAGAGAAAAAGAAAAGGAAAGAAAAAGAAAAAGAGAAGAAAAAAATAAAGACAAGAATAAAAAGGAAAATATCATAATGACCAGACTCACAACACCCTGCAACCCCTTCTCCACTTCAAAAACTGTCATAACTCCTTTGATCTATGCTGCCGGATGGCGTAACCACTGGGGGACAAGGGGAAAATATCTATTTTTGAAAATCTTCCCCACCCCTTTATAAATGCCCTTTTCATTTCCTGAAAGTGCCTAAAAACCTCAAATTTTGCGCGCATTTCTTGTTAACATGGACCAATTTCCGCTAAAAATTGCACATTTTAGGGAGTTTTGATCAATTCCAAACGAAATTACAATTAAAAACACCGGGGGACAAGGGAAAATATCCATCTTTGGAAAATCTTTCCCCACCCCTTGACAAATGCATCCTCTGAAAGTGCCTAAAATTCTCAAATTCTTTGCGCGCATTTCTTGTTACGGTAGGCCAATTTCCTCTATAAATTGCACATTTTAGGGAGTTTTCTTAAAGAAAAAAAAACACAAAAATATTTTGCGCGCCTCGCGCGCATTTTTAGGGCTTTTTTTAGGTTTATCCTTTTAAGTTATTTAAACACATAATAGTCCCAAATTCAAGAAAGACAAATTTAAGATAGATCGTTTTAACCTAAAAGAAGGGCCTCAATATGCATTGATGGAGAAAGAATATGTTTGTAATAAATAAAACCATGATGAAAATGCTTATATTTAGTTTCAAACACACGTGTGTGGCCTATATTATAAATAAGATAAGCCCTATGTCGTATTGTTTTCTATATGGGAGTGGGATGGGGTGGGTATGGTAAATTACTAACCGGGAAAATAAATACCCACTCTGACCCAAGACCCCTGTTACGCGCCTGGACATGTTAGAAATCACTTAAGGTCCTATTCGATTTCGAATTATGAAAAGTGTAGGCTGTGGCACTGAGACCTCTGATGATTAGTGCCCAAAATTGTTTACAAAAACGTAATGCAATAATAGCATATTGACTACTATTGTATATTTTATGAAATATTTCAGCCGCTCCAAATCTCTTTCCTATTCTTCCTTCTTCCTTTATTTTTTCACAATTTTACGTTTTTTTTTTTTTTTTTTTTTTTTTTTTTTTTTTTTTTTTTTTTTTTTTTTTTTTTTTTTTTTTTTTCTAGATGTGTATAAGAGACAGGTTTCGACCTAGGCAAACCTTTGCTAAAAAGGTACACTTTCTCCATCAAAAAGGCTTCTTCTATGAATGGAATGACCTGTTCGAAGCACGAACTCCTGTAGACCAAACCCAGTACCGTTACGATTTTTAATCGTACGGGAAATTCACTCGCGATGATATATGCTTAGCCTCTCATCAATCTACCTTTCAAATTCGTTAAATATACAATTTAGACTTGGTAGCACAACTACTTGTACGCGCGGAATGCTATGAGAAGAGGAAAAGTTGAGGTCAATCTATGTTTATGCCTTTGAATAATCAATCTTTTGTTCTTGTCTAACCAAGGTAATGTAGGCCTTGCTTTTCTTTTTATTTTTTTTTCAGAAAAAAAAAACAGCACTTAATTTTACATAACCTATTTATGTTTTGTCGTCATGGGGAAGACGAATAGAAACGACGATATACGCTTTCCATTGACCATATAATGCGCGGTAACTATCCTGAAGACATACGATAGAAAAGGATAGGCTTACGACTTTGTTTTGATTTTTCATTATCTTTCATAGGATATTGCCAGAGCTAATAAACTCACCTATTTACGACTTCACCTTATGAAAGTCAGCTTTAAGAAATGGATACATTAATTGGTACGTACATTGAACAAGCAGGTTTTTCTGTCCACATGTCACATTTCCTGCATTATTTATGGCCATGCAGCGATAATTGCCAGTATCTTCTTCTGTTGCGTTCTCAATCATATATTCCTTAACATATCCACTTTTAACAACTTTGTTGTTTTTGAAAAAGGTATAATTTGGATAAGGTTGAGCATTCACTTGACATGTAATAGACACGGAATTGCCTTCTGCAACTATACTGTTAACATCACTCTTTTGTTGGCACCTGATATCTGTAACAGAGTATAGCAAGATAAATATCATTATAATAAAAAGACGGTTTTAGTACTAATCTAAGTTATGAAACTAGGCAGACAACTCACGGTGCACACTAAGAGTATCTCCGTTACTATTCTTGCTTCCTGCTTCATTACGAGCTTCACAGTAGTAAACCCATGATCATGATTTGTTGCATTGATGATGGTGTACTTCAGCATAATGCCATTTGTAGAAGATATCAGCCGATCATCCTTATGCATATTAAGTATTGGATCAGGGTAAGCACCACTACTCTGGCAGAAAATGTCCAAATCATCGCCTGCCCGGACAAATTCTCAGAGCGCTGAGAAGAATTGCGAAGGCCACTGGCTCTAGCCCTTCTACTGGGCACCTTCTATGTTTTTAACATTCAGTATCATAATAAAGCAAACAACTATATCTTCCTAGAATCCAAGATGTTTGAAAAGATAAAGGAAGCCAACAAACATGTCATTACACTGTTTGTGACACTCTAATTGGAAAACAAGAGTTTATAAACTCGTTCATTTTGAAGGAGTATTTCCCTCACTAATCTGCCATTATAGGCATGGTTTATACGTGTAAAGATAAAAGAATAATGTATTTTGTGAAAAAAAAAATAAAGGAATGATTATTTATAGAATTTTTGTGTGGTCTTTATTGATTTGTGGTCCATTGAAATTATTTCCAAGGAGTCAACTTAACCCCAAAAATGGAGTTAAATTTAACTCCAAAAGTGGAGTTTAATCCCCAAAGGGAGTAATATTAACTCCAAAAAGGGGATGGGAATCACCCTCTTTTTGGAGTTAATGTTACTCCCTTTAGGGAGTAAAAATATGAGAGTAAATATTACTCCAGAAAAGGAGTCGTTCTGTACCTTTTTTATTAACTCCACTTTTGGAGTTAAATCTGTCTCTTATACACATCTACTAGTAACATTAACAACCTTGTATAATCAATCTATTAGTAACAAATTTTTAAGCTTCGTCTAGGCTAGGCTTGGCTCTCTTAAGTTATCACGAGCAGCGACAATATCACCTCACTAAGCGACCATTGGGGATATATCCCCCCGAAATCTACGCCTATGCCTGGGTTCAATTCCTGTCACAGTAGGAATTTTTCCCACGACTAAAACCAACTCCACTCCCTAAGCCTCATAAAGAGGCTTAGTTTATAAAGTATCATTATCATCCTGTAAGTGGCGAGTGTACTTGCTGTTGAATGTGAGGGAAATAAAAAAAATTTAAAAACGAACAATATGACAGGATCCTTGCTGATCATATCATGGATTGATGATATATGCTTAGTCTCTCATCAATCTACCTTTCAAATTCGTTAAATATACAATTTAGACTTGGTAGCACATCTACTTGTACGGAATGCTATGAGAAGAGGAAAAAGTGGAGGTCAATCTATGTTTATGCCTTTGAATAATCAATCTTTTGTTCTGGGCTAACCAAGGTAATGTAGGCCTTGCTTTTCTTTTTAGTTTTTTTCAGAAAAAAAAACAGCACTTAATTTTACATGACCTATTTATGTTTTGTCTCATGGGGAAGACGAATAGAAACGACGATATACGCTTTCCATTGACCATATAATGCGCGGTAACTACCCTGAAGACATACGATAGAAAAGGATAGGCTTACGACTTTGTTTTGATTTTTCATTATCTTTCATTGGATATTGCCAGAGCTAATAAACTCACCTATTTACGACTTCACCTTATGAATGTCAGCTTTAAGAAATGGATACATTAATTGGTACGTACATTGAACAAGCAGGTTTTTCTGTCCACATGTCACATTTCCTGCATCATTTATGGCCATGCAGTGATAATCGCCAGTATCTTCTTCTGTTGCGTTCTCAATCATATATTCCTTAACATATCCACTTTTAACAACTTTGTTGTTTTTGAAAAAGGTATAATTTGGATAAGGTTGAGCATTCACTTGACATGTAATAGACACGGACTTGCCTTCTGCAACTATACTGTTAAAATCACTCTTTTGTTGGCACCTGATATCTGTAACAGAGTATAGCAAGATAAATATCATTATAATAAAAAGACGGTTTTAGTACTAATCTAGGTTATGAAACTAGGCAGACAACTCACAGTGCACACTAAGAGTATCTCCGTTACTATTCTTGCTTCCTGCTTCATTACGAGCTTCACAGTAGTAAAACCCATGATCATGATTTGTTGCATTGATGATGGTGTACTTCAGCATAATGCCATTTGTAGAAGATATCAGCCGATCATCCTTATGCATATTAAGTATTGGGTCAGGGTAAGCATCACCACTCTGGCAGAAAATGTCTAAATCATCGCCTGCCCGGACAAATTTAGGTAGAACTATTATAGGTGCATCCAAATCTAATGTAAAAATGAGAAAATCTAGTTATTCGTATTCGTAGTAGTAGTACAGTAGTAGTATTCGTATTTGTAGTAGTAGTTATATTCGTAGTATTCGTAGAAGTAGTAGTAGTAGTAGTAGTAGTGGTAGTAGTAGTAGTAGTATTAATAGTAGTAGTAGTGGCGGCGGCGGCGGCGGCGGCGGCGGTGGCGGTGGTGGTGGTTTTGGTGGTAGTAGTGGTAGTAGTAGTAATAGTAGTGGTAATAGTGGTAGTGGTAGTGATAGTGGTATCGGTTGTGGTAGTGGTAGTAGTAGTAGCAGCAGTAGAAGTAGTAGTAGTAGTAGTAGTATTTGTTCATTTAAAAATCCAGTTATTCATCGTATTATTATTATTATTATTATTATTATTATTATTAATGTTATTATTATTATTATTAGGCCTAATAATAATAATTTATTATTATTAATATTATTATTATTATTATTATTATTATTATTTGTTTATTTGAACGACAGAGGTATGAACATTTTTTTGTTTCAATTAGGGCAGCAATATTAATTGCCCGTCGAAGGTTAGTTGCGTAATTAATTTAGGGTGATTGGGCCTATCTTTTTACATAATGTTTAATTTCATAATTAGGTATACACAGTACATTGTGGGATGGATGTTTCCAGGCAACTGTTAGGTAGGCAACTGAGCTTGCTGTTTATTTTATTTATTGTATACACTATTAGAAACTGACCTGGATGTTTCCATTAGGCAGCCAACTGAGCTTGCTGTTTATTTTATTTATTGTATACAATATTAGAAACTGACCTGGATGTTTCCATTAGGCAGCCAACTGAGCTTGCTGTTTATTTTATTTAATTATGGTATACAATGTTGGAGACTGACCTGGATGTTTCCACTAGGCAGCCAACTGGGCTTGCTGTTTATTTTATTTATTGTACACAATATTAGAAACTGACCTGGATATTTCCATTAGGCAGCCAGCTGGGCTTGCTGTTTATTTTATTTATTGTATACAATCTGGACCAATGGATGGAAGCTTTCAATGTATATATGTTTACGTATTGCCAAACACATGTGCATGAAGCACCTAGGATGCTTTGTTACATGCAAGGAATCAGCAATCTGTATCAAAAAGGTGGGTTAGAGGCAGCTTTATTCTATGATAGGCAATTTAGAAGGATGAGACAAATTGCTGATCGGCCTTGGAATATAAAGAGTGATACTCTTTATTTGGAGTCCTTATCTTTAGCTCTTAAAAAATAAGACAGATAACCTAGTGCATGGTACTAATCGGGCCACTAAGACGCTAGCTATGCATTACCTTCGTAACAATCAACTCCCCAAAGGACGGGCAAAATTGCCGGAAGGGATCTGCTAGCATTATCAGCTTAAAGGAATCTGCAACTACAAATCCAGATTTGATCGCATCAGAGTCCCTGATGAAACGAGAGACACAACCAAGTCACCAAATTCATTTCGTTTAAACAAAAAATTAGTTGTTCACTCCAATTAACTACTTTGCTATAAATCAAATGCTTATTGGTTATGATCATGTCAAAGGAGACTTTCTTTGAGACGGCTTTAATGAGGGTTTTTGAATAGGATACCAAAGTAAAAGAGTTTTTCGAGAAGCGGCTAACTTAAAGTCAGCACTTGATATGCCTACAGTTTTAAACAACAAACTTTTGCATGAGGTACAACAGGCTCGAATCGCGGGCCCATTTGACATATCACATTTTGAAAATCTGCAAGTCTCTCCTTTGGCGCTGGTTCCTAAAAGTACGCCAGGCGAATTTCGTCTGATTCATCGTCTATCTTTTCCTGAAGGGTCCTCAATAAATGATGGTATTGCAGATACATCGGTTTATTATCAAACAGTAGCGTATGCAAAGTTAATATAGAAATTTGGTAGGGGAAGCCTCATGGCTAAAACCGATATAGAAAATGCATTCAGAATAATTCCAGTTCACCCAAATGATTATGAGCTTCTTGGTATGAAAGTGGGGGGGGGGTGTGCTAAATCTTGTAAAATCTTTGAGGGATTTAGTACTGCGATACAATGGATATAGAACTAGAACTGGATATAGAACTAACAAGTTGTCATATCGTCAACTATATGACCAATTTTAGAAGGAGTTTGGATCACAGTAAGACCAAAACGCCTCCCACGTAAGATATCAAATATTTCAATTGGAGTCGTCTACAACCCTCAATAGGTACATGATTATGACATGTCCATGTACATTGTTATTTTGTATGGACGCGATGACATGATTATGACATGTCCATGTGCATTGTTTATTTTTTATGGACGCGATTCTACGTAAACATATCCGAAAACCGGATTCATAGTTATGGGGGACTTTAATCACATGAATGATAGATCAATCCGTAACATTCCAACGAAACAAATTGTCAGCCGTAAAACGAGAGGAAATGCTACGCTCGACCTTATCTATACGACAATACACGACTTATACAAAGAACCCAAATCCAACCCGCAAACCAACCAACCCGCAAAGGAAACCGAAACAGTCGAAATCGACAATGTAAAATCATTTGGTTCAACCCACCGTATAGCGACAATGTTTCAACCAACATAGGCCATAATTCCTATGTATCATTGATTCATCATTCCCTCCAAACCACACGCTCAGAAAAATATTTAACCAGAACACTTTGAAATTAAGCTACAGCTGTATGCGCAATATGAAGCAGATAATTTCAAGCCACAACAAGACGCTGCTAAAAAAACTAATTGTAATTGCAGAAGAAATGTAACATGCCCATTAGAAGGAAACTGCTTAACCAAAGGAGTTATATATCAAGCAACAGTTACCAGATATGACGACCAAACCCAAGAAACGTATATTGGACTAACAGAGCACACATTCAAAACCAGATACAACCAGTAACTTCAGGAAAAAGACCCCTCCCCCCCCCCTCCAAAAACTCTTAGCCGATATATATTCAGGCCCGCAGCCGGGTGGGGGGGGGGGAGTTATGGTTCGGGCGAACCACCCTTTTCTAGCGAACCCCCTCGAATTTTTGAATGAGTCCCACTCCGACAGAATGTCTGTTTTTAACTTACCCAGCATTAAATCAAAATTTAGCACCTAATTCATAATTTGGTCACCCGTTTTTAAATTGTGCTAGCGATACAAGCCTACATTCATAGAATATCTCAGCTTCTGAAGTTCAGAGATTTATATTGAACGCAACTCCTGCAAACCATGACTTTTCGATGGCTCACATAAGGATGGCAAACATCGATAAAAACCCGGCTGCCGTTTTATCTTTCACTGGCCTTTGGCTGAATGTTTGTAAGAAATGTACCAACCGGTAACAAAACCGGTCGCCGTCTATCTAGAGTAAATGTCGCCACCAAACGAAGCCATAGTTTTGCCGGACTTAATCCACCAAAATTCAGCTAAAGTTTTGCTATTTAAGCGTGGTTCCCACTAGGACGTACACTCAACGCAACTGGCGCAACGTAAGAATATGCTCTTTCAAGAAAGTCGCACCCCCCTCTTTGCGAAAAGTTGAAATTTCGCTGTAAAGCTTGGTTGCGTCAACACAACACGTAAGAAAGTACATGGTTCCCATTTGGCGACGTAACGACGCAGGGTGAGCGGGAAATTCGATGTCTTTGCAAAATACTGTGCAGCGCGCGACAGTAGGCCCTTCTGAGAAGTGACAACATGCCGAAAAACAACGACAGAGAATTTGCAAGAATATGTATAGACCCTACTGTATCTTTTATGGAAGCGGAAGAGAAGAATAAGACTAAACAAAGGAGACGATTTTGGGTGCGTGAAATATTTCAAGAAAGAAATTTACATGGCCAGTTTAAAACAACATTCTTATCATTGAAAGCCACCGACCGAGAATATTTGTTCAGGTGAGTAGCCTGGCCTAGGCCTAGTAGAGTAGGAAAGCCTGGCATAGGCGGTCTAGGCCTAAGCCTACGCTAGGGCATCCTGTGAATATTTCCATTGTTGGTGCCTAGCTTTAATGAACCTCTGCAAATTTGAATATGTGAATTTTACTCATAGCCTAATGATTACATATTATTATTATATTATTATTATTATAAGTCTAGGTGCCAACATTATCTTTTTAATGAGTGAGGGTTTTTAAGAAGGGAAAAAGCCAGTGCAGTGGTGGTAGGCCTACCTCCAGCGGAGGCCTACTGTTTTCCCTTACCCAAGCAGTCAACTCAGCCCCAATTAAACCACATTAAAACCACATTTTGGTTAAATTAAAGTATTTTAAATTGTTGACGTTTGTATTTTTTTTTTACATTTACAATACATACATTATAAAAATAATGAAACCTGCATTAAATATGAATATTAAAATAATATTAATAGTAATAATAACAATATAAAAAGGCATATTATTAGCTGTATCTAATGATATGATTACAATAGTAACAACATAATTATGACAATACTTAATGAGTTATATAGACATAATAATGTATAAATATGAATACATAATAATGTATACATATTTAAATATACCTATAATTATTATTATGTAAAATAAATATGCCTGTGTATGAGTCCTGAGAGGTTCGATCACCAGTTGAGTTTAATACAACATCTTCTGGAGAAAAAAACAACAAAATTAAGGAAACCAATCAGTGCCAATAATAATGTTGAGATACCTAGCTACTGGCGATCAACAGAGTTCACAGTCATTTAACTTCTTGGTTGGTAGATCCACTGTCTGCAAAATAATCAGAGAGACGTGCCAAGCAATCTGGAGTGTGTTGCAACCATTTTATTCTGTATGGCAATGCCACACATTTCCGATCATTGGAAAAACATAGCTCAAGCCTATGAAGATACTTGGAATTTTCCTCATGTCATTGGAGCAGTTGACAGCAAACATATCAATATTGAATGCCCAAAATTCGGAGGTTCAATGTATTATAACTACAAACAGTTCCACTCGTCTGTTCTTTTGGCATTATGTGGTGCCAGGTATGCATTCACCTACGTCAATATTGGTAGTTATGGCGGTATGAATGATGCCAGCATTTTCAATCGATCAAAGTTGCATGAAGAACTTCAAAATGGCACATTTCCCTTGCCAGTACCAGAAAACTAAAGACCATATTATATTTTGGGGGATGATATATTTCCCCTCAAACCCTGGCTAATGAAACCGTATTCCGGAAAAGATTTGTCCTTCGAATCAAGGGTGTTCAATTACAGGCTCTCAAGAGCCAGGAGAACAATTGAAAATTCATTTGGGATTCTAGCAGCACGATGGAGGATATTCCGTCGCCCAATCCGTGCCGATATTAGCACAGTTGATGACATTATTAAAGCCACGTTGTGTTTGCATAACTACTTAATAAAAACAGAAAATGCTAGGTACAGCCCAAGTGGCTTTGTGGACTGCTATGATGGAGGTGAGCTTAAAGAAGGAGAGTGGTGCAATGTGGTAGAAGGTGACAACAGCATGGGAGCATTACAGGCAAATCATGCTAATAACTATTCATTTGATGCTAAAATGATCAGAGACAATCTGCGTGAATACGTAAACTCTGTAGATGGGTCAGTAACATGGCAAAATGAAACATTTTTTTATTGTGGGCGAAAGACATAGTCTTTCATCCATCTCATGGATTTCCAGATGGAACATGAACACTCGTTAAGTAAATTACTGTATAATTTCTTTTTATGACAGATTACATACATTTTGACTTAAATTGATAAATCAAAACCATATGGTAGCTTATTATATTTATTTATACTTTTTTTTTTAAGATCATCAGAGATGGGCAGAAAAAATAACATTTTATTGGTGAATGTAAACTGTATATACAGTAATTAAGAAGAAATATACATATCTTATTTTTGAGATATTGAGGCAGCAGTGGGTATAATCAAAATTGAAAAAAAAAAACTTTTCTGAAATGTTCGTGACATGGGTGTGCTAATTTGCCACTAAAGTTTTATGTTTATTCGAAACCATTATTAGCAGTTGATACAAATGGGTTTGCTAAAAAAAAGGCTAAATCTGCTTTGCAAAAAAATTTATATATATAAGATTAAATGGTACTACTTGATCCATATTAGGATCGGAGTGTTAGTCTCTATGTTAAGAGATATGCAATGTCTAATGTTTATGACAATTTTTGATCAGTGGTTTGTATGTTATAATAAATGTTTGTTATTTAACATATACTGTAGTATCTAGAAATACTGTATTGTGCTACTTTCATTATGGTTTGTCACTTATTAAATTAACACTACATTAAAGAAACAACATCTAAATCTAGTACTGTATTGATGAAAAATTCTTGTATTCTTTACTTAAATAGACCTATTTAATTTTTTGGAATTAGGCCTATGATAAATTTCTGTAGCAACTACAGATATGTTGTGCAACTTGAAGTGGTGTGTTAACCTATCCTGGTATTCCTCTAAATTAAAAAATCTAGCCTAGGGAATTAAAAAATATTTTAATGTCATCGTCAAATTGTTTTTACAGTACATGCAGAACTACCAGAAAATCAGAATCAAGATAATTTTATAAATATTTTTTACATTTTATTTTCAATAATAATAATACACATTGATTGGCAACTGGTAAATAACTCTGAAATATGAACGACAAATTTACTCTAGGCAAGGCTGTATTGTACACAAAAGTTTTCTAGGTATACAGTGGCAACATTATACTGTATATTCACATCAACAACTACTTTGGAAATAAAAAATATTTGCAGCAAATCCCAGGAAAGATAAAATTGCATTGGATTAATACAAGATGGTAAATGATAAGTAAATATACAATACATACACACACATCACTGTCAGTCCATATATACATACAAACGAAAATAAAATGGTTTAAAACAAGTAAAGAAAACACATTTTGTAAGGAAACATTTAAACTTCATAAAATTGTTCACTGCCTTTATCATAAAGGCAGGGATATTCTCGCACAATTTCCATGAACTCTGACTCCTTTGTGGAAACCATGATGACGTTCCTTTTGAGACGACCCAGTTGTTGTTTTGCAATTGACTGAGCGTGCGCAGATGAGGCTTTTTCTTGCGTTTGCCTCTTGCGTTGACGTAAAATTCAAACCGGTTTGAATTTCTGCTATCGACGCAATTGCTGTCGCAAGGGACGCAACACTCTACGAAAAGTTGAACTGCGTATGAGTAGCGTCGATGTTGCGTTGCGTTGCCTAGTTTGCGTCGTCGGTTCCCACTTGGAAGCCGCAATACCCTCGCGTTGCGTCACTTTGCGTCGATACGTCGCGTTTGCGTCGCTGCGTTGCGTCCTAGTGGGAACCAAGCTTTAGTCACCTGATTGTGGATTGTGTGGTTTGTAAATTCCACAGAGCCATACTATATTACTGTCCATAGCGCACAGTAAACTATTTGCTAATGGAGCATTTTTGGGAAAATTGACTCGCCTTTTTCCATCCAAAACAAAATATTAGTAAATCAACATGGTCCATCCCAGTCATTATAGCCAGTCACAAAATTAGGAAGTTTGATAGTCCTTTAAGATGGGTTATTGATTTCAAAATCAATTAGCCTAGCCTAGATGTTGACTAGCTAGGCTGCGTTAGGTTTGCTCCTCGTTCATTTAAGCCGGACACTCACTGCGTCGTACGACCATCGCACGACGAATTCACGTTTGCTTCCGGGTGGCGATAGACGACGCAACGCAATCTGAACTGATCCTCATTAAAAAGACGACCCGTTGGGATAACGTCTTCGCGTGCGTTCTTCGTCGCGTAGAGACAGAATTATACCCTGACGACATCAAACTAGTGTATGCCTAGGCCTAAGTACAGTAGGACGTACTACTAGCCCTAGGCTTTTGTTTTAAAAGTTAAAGTGCATGTACAGGATGCGCCATAGGCCTATATTTAACAAAAATACATTTTGTTAATTACTATCGGTTGGCCTGGGACCTAGGCAGATTTTACCGTCGAAAGTCCTGGGATTCGACGATGACGTCAATGCACGTCACATGTTTACAAACGCCATTGATTGGAATGAAAATATCGCGCTGAATTTCGTTTTTTTCATTATTTATTGAACTTTTATCTATATAAAAACAAGATTAATATTGTAGAAATTGTAATTCTAAAAATCCATATATAATTCATTTTTCATTTGGTAGACAATAAATATTGAGTAAGATATACTAAAAACGATTATTAATTCTAAAATATGCATCAAATCTCAGACATTATTAATCAGTATGTATTGTTAAAGTCTTAAAATAATAATTTCGAATTATGCCTAGTATAAAACAAATAATTGTAACTGAAGTTTAGGTTCCCATGATGTCAGATAACGTATTGATAATATTTGTGCCTTTGTAGTCATGTAGTAAAAATAGTATACTACGGTATTATTTTCAGTGTACAAGATGATCGAGTCAAGAAGTTCAGCTCCTACTTTATTTTGCAACAGGCAGCTACTATTTGTTTATACTGGAAGATTCATTATTTAAATTAAAACAAGACAACATTTCTTAAATGTTTATATGTTATAAAGAAGCACAGTACATAATTCTTTGTAAGTTACTTTATATATAATATCTTTTTTTGTTTTATAATAATAAATGTGTTGAGTATATTGATATTGATTATGCGATGAGGGGAGGGGGTTTGTCTTTTGGTGTGATTTAAACATGCCAATTCTCAGAAAATATTTTTTAATTTTATTATATTACCACCTTTTTATTACATAGATCTTTTTCAAAACATAACTGCTTTTATAACATATAGACCCATTAAACACAAAAACTGCTCTGGTTTTGGGGGCTTCGCTCCCGACCACACCTGGGCCCTTGGGCAGGCCACTGGACCCCACACCAGAGAACCCCCCCCCCCCCTTGAAATGACTTGGCTACGGGCCTGAATATTGACCCTTAAAGATAACTATATCCTGTACTCGTTAAAATGGAAAATCCTAGCCAAATGCAAGCCATACTATCCGGCCCAAAACAAGTGTAATCTGTGCCTGATGGAAAAGTATTTCATAATTTGTAAACCAAAATTAGGCACAATAAACAACAGAAATGAATTGGTAACCTCATGCTAAGACACAGAAAAAAGCATCTATTGTGTAACAACTAAGCAATATTAACACCTCAGCTACACAATGGTAGGAACCATAGCAACGTATCTTTGCCTTATCTCTTAGCATAAATGTAATTCTTGTACTGACTACTCACTATGTATTTGTACCTGATGAGTGTGGGCAGCTTTTGACAGCTGTCCATACAAGCTTGTAGTAATAAC